ATGGGAAGATTGAGGCGCAAAGTGGCCATTATTCTTGCAAAGTCACACAGCGACAGGATTAGCCCTTGAGCTCTTATTTCCACTCCAGTGTTCTTTCCACCGTAGATTGTAGAGGCCCAGTCTGAATACGCCGCTTCCACTGACGGAGGTGCAGGCGGAATAAGCCCGCGAATCGTGAGCCAGACCGTTGCTGCAAAGCCATCGGAATTACTTACCTTCTGTCTGGGGTGCGGGTGCGTGTGTGTGCACGCGTGTGTCCTAAAGGTTGGGACGGAATGGCTGCGTGGTAATTCTAAGTCCTCGGTCCCTGAAACCGTGCAAGGAAACAGGCTGCTTTAGAGAGACGCACAGGGCGGAGACGGACTCCTGGGAAGGCACCCCACTTAGCCGGCTGAGAGACGAAGGCAGCAGAGAGGCGAGACTTGCTGGGAGTGATGGGCAGTACTTGACTAGGCGCAGGGAGCAGCACACGTGGGTGGATTCTAAACAGTTCTCAAATACTGCCGGGTCTGAACTGGCCGAGCCCTCGAGAAAGAGGTGTGCGGCCCGGCGTTGCGGACCGGGCCGATGTGGATGCACCCGGCGTGATTGGCCTGAGGTGACATGTCCCTTGGCCGTGGTGGGCAGGACCCTATGCTTCTGACCAGGTCCACGTCCTTCTTTAACAAGCACTTGGGTGGACGGAGGATTCGGCCTTGTGGAAGGACGCCGGTGTCTTAGAGCGGTGGCTCTTGAGATGTGACCTCAGACCAGAAGCGTCAGCATCACCTGAGAACATGTTGGAAATGCGATTGCTGGGCCTTCCCCAGGCCTACTACAAAACACCACCGCCGACTCCGGGCAGAGGGCCCACGGGTCTGTGTTAGGAAGCCCTCCGGGTGATTCCGGTGCCCGCTAGAGTCTAACAACCACTGGAGTGAGCACAGGCCTCCAATCCAGGTGGCATGCTGCCGGCAGACGGGACGAGCCCGTGGCTGGAGCACACAGACACTCTGCCACAGTGGGGTGCCCAGATGCACACCCAGAGGTTCGACTGCAGGAGAAGGGGAACCACATTCAGACCACCTTGCCCAGCCTTTGGAGCCGGGGCTTGTAACGGGACCTATCGGGGAGTGGGGGAGTTGGAGCACCTTTTGTACAAACAGTGACTTGTTCTTTTGATGAGAAGGATAAAGCCTAATACTTCTAGACAAGAACTAAAAGCCAGGAATGACCAGGCAGCAGCTGGAGCCGGCACAGCTGGCCGTCGGCTGGGCCCGCCGGGGTCCCGTGTGCCCGTAGAAGCGTGCGTCCCTGACTCGCTCTCTGCAGCCTTGTCCGCACGGCGGAGCAGCTCGGTCGCTCCCCTCACCCTGTTCTGAGGACACGGGGTTCGGAATCCCGCAAGCTGAGTCACCATCGGCTCCATCTGAAACGTCACGGGGAAGAGTAGGGGCCAAACTCCTCAGCCCCTTAGGTCTGCACATCGTTCGTTTTCTCTGTCACCCAACATATTAACTTAAAAATCCAGGCTCATTCATGCTGCAGAAATTACTCGTCGGCCAACAGATGAGGCAGGGACAGCCTCAGCATCCCCGCCCCCGGCCAAGCGCTCGGCACACAGTAAGTGCTCAGCACATACGTGTACGTGAATAAATGAATCTGGAAATGTATTTTTTTTTGATTCTGGTGTAATCGGGATTTTTTTTTTTTTTTTTTGGCTTCTAAGAAATTGCGTTTATCCCATAATCACGCACACTATACAACCAAGGCAACCTATAGTTCTGAATTTGCCAAGATTTTGACAGTAGCGTTTTAATTGCCATAATAAAGCTGTCAGACCAAAACAAGCTTAAAGTCGTTGCTGTGACTTGCCAGTTATGAAAATGCGAAGACTATCGTTCTAGGCGTCTGAGTAAGCCTCACAGACAGCTGTGGCCGGGCCCAGCTCAGGGGCCGGGAACTGTGATCACAGCCTCTGACGCTTGGGCAGCCCAGCGCAGCAGACCTGCATTCTCTGGGATGCCAGCTCATCCATTTCCATCTGAGATCGTTTCTTACATTAATTATCACGATATTTCCCCTTCGGAGCTGAGAGGCTCAGAGACGCCGGTCTGCACGATGTGGTTTTGTTAAGAGGCAGATCATTGCGTCTGAGCATCTTCATGGAGCGCTGCTCGGAGCTGCGTAACAAGGTCTAAGAGCTCAACGTCTAAGAGGTAGCTGGGGGAGCGGTGCTGCCTGGACAGCCTGCAGCGAAAGCCAGGAACCCCCGTGGCCGGCGCGGACGCGTGGTGACCCTTGGGAGTGTTTCGACCTGGAGGTGCCGTGGGCAGAGCCTGGCTCTGTGAGGTCGGGGTCTGTCTCTGCAGTGGTCACACTCGGCAGGGGAGTGGGCGGGGACAGCACACTGGCTGCACCGCAGTGCACCGCCAGAACAAAGCCACCTCCGACGGGGACAGGTGGCTGGGCAGGCGTGCCCGCGGTGCTCCCTTGGGGCTGACCACGCTGGACAGCCCTCTCTGTGTCCTCCTGCCCTGTCGCATGACACGGCATGTTAATCTTGGCCACCAGCTCCAGGCAAGTGCGAACCATACTTTGAACCAAGTGAAATGGATACTGAAAATTCATTTAATAGATGCAAGATTTGTGGGCTCACGGAAGAAATAATCAGTAGGTGGCTCCAGAGGCTTACCCCGTCTCGTGGGATGCGTATCTGTACGTAGGTTCAGGGTGGAATGGTTGTCAGCTAGCAAGGTTAGGAAAAAGCAGGGGCAGTACAGAAAAAAGTCACAAAGAGTAACTGCCATCCAGTTGGAGTCGAGCATTCTGCAAACTTCGGTTTTCTCATCGAGGGATGGAGGAAGGGTTCTACCACTTCCGAAGTCATTCTGTGTTTGCCATTAGTGGTCACAGAGTGACAACAAGTTTATCCCATGCATAGTCATTCAGGGTTACTTCCCACTGGTGACTGAGACCCTTAGCAACAGGGCCCTCAAAGTTCGTGGCATCTATCCGTAAATGCGAAACTGGAACAAAGCCCTTATCTTTCCCTTTCGAAGAGTGAGGGTTTTGCTTTTAGTTTTGTTCCTGGAAATAGCTTATTAGAAAATAAGATCACAATTCTTGAAAAACAGTCTTCCTCCCTGCGCTTTTGTAGTTAAATAAAGTGAAATCAGTTCGACGTTCAATATTAAAAATTTTCTTGGGAAACAGGTACTATCTTTTTACTCTAAGAAAAAAGATCACGTTTCCTAAGGTACTACTGTCCTCACCTTCACTTTTTTCCTTCCTGTTATACCGTCCAGTAGTTAAGCTCCAGGTCCTAGAGCCGGGTAGATTAGTTATCTCCCTGTAAAATGAGGGTAATGACAGCACCTCGCTCCCATGACCGTTGTGGAGAGTACATGAGCTAATATGTGTAAAGTGAGAGAAACAGCTTCGGGCACGTGGGAAGCATCCTGTTAAGTGTTAGCTCGTGTTCCATCCCATGTGGAGTCAATAAGCTTTCCTCACTAGTGTTGGGATTTACAGTCAGGATGGCAAGGAACGCTGATAAAATATTTCTTTTTCCGGGTTGTTTCGTTTCCTGATTCAGACAGCTGTGTTTTGAAAATAGTTATCCCATTAGCAGTTTGAGGGAGAAATATGTCGTCACAGCTGGTCCATCAATTTCCAAAGACGTTTAATTTAATTCATCTGTCTGAAGATAACGATGGCTAGCACTGCTTTCTGGAACTTACCGTATTAACTCATTTAATTCTCACAGCAGCTCTTTGCGATGAGTGCAGTTACTGCCCACACTTAAGAGCTGAGGGACCTGAGGCACCGAAGGTTCTGTTCAGAGTTGTACCACCATTATGTGGCAGAGCCAGGGTCCCGGCCCTCGCCCTTGTCCACCTTCGTCTTCCTCCCTCCTCCCCGGGGTGGCCCAGCCACATGGCTTCTGCCCTCCAGTGCCCTGCCTCAAGGCCTTGGCATCTGCAGTTACATCACCCCGGCTCTTGGCGCATCTGGCTGCTTCTCACCATCCTGGCTAAAGTCAAGTGTCGCCTTTCCTATCTTAACTAAATTCAGCCCGCATCCATCACCTATCACATTTTCCTGCTCGCTTCACGGTCTAGAGCAGCCAGAGACCCCCTCTGTCCGGCTGGCTCACCATTTAGTGCCTGGCACGGCATCGTTTAAAACCTACATTGACCAATGTAGGTTTTAATAATATGATTTAATAATAGTCTGATGATTTTAATAATAGTCTTAGCTCCCTTTTTTTTCATCTATACGTAACCTGACTCTTACATACGTGAGTGCACACGTGTGCGTGCATACGCATGAATGTGGAAGGAGATATATTCTAATCGTGGTAAAGCGGTGCAGAATCCTGGACGACTTCTCTTAAGGTTACAGTTCTAGCTCAACAGTGACGTCCCGATGTTTTCCTTATGAGGGGTGAAGCGCCTAGGTGTGTTTGTCTCTGGAAAGACTGAGTCACGTGTTCAAAGGAAGGTGTACAGGTCTCAGGCAGTGAACGATACAATTCCTAAAATAAATCGTAAAAATGGGAGCCTGGATCAGGAAGTAAAATCATTTTTCCTCATCCGTTCGTGTCAAGCAGATAGTACTTTGTATACACATCTGTATCTCCTCTCCCTCAGTAACTGCTTCCTCCCACTAATTTAAATTAAATTGTAACCATGTCGTTTGTTTGCTCTCGGGGCCCCTCGGGTTTCCATTGGGGAATTTGACAGAGAAGTGGGGGTACCAGGAACCTGAGACCAGAACTTTGACAAAAAGGGATTTTCCATTCGTTCCGCTGAGAACTCTGGGCGACCGTGGATGCTACAGAACTGTGTGAGGTGTCAGGCCCACGACCACAGTGCGGCGATCTGGCCGGGACAGACCCGTGTGACTCGTTTAAGTCGGGGACGGGCTTTTGGGCGCTGGTCCTGCAGGCTCGAAAAGGCCGCGTGGCAACCGCTCTCCTTCCGGAACGAACCTCACCCTTCCTTGTTCCGCCCTAGATAACCAGTTCAGGATGTCCATCCTAGAACGCCTGGAGCAGATGGAGAGGAGGATGGCCGAGATGACGGGGTCGCAGCAGCACAAGCCCGGAGGCGGCGGAGGCAGCAGTGGAGGGGGCGCCGGGAGCGGGAGCGGCGGAGGTCAAGCTCAGGTACCAGTCCGCGCAGACGGCCGCCTCTCGCGTTGTCTCACGTGTTCCTGGTTGACGAGGCTGTCCGTCACAGCCCCTTCTCTGGGGCCGGTGTCATCCCTGCGCAGAAGCGCTCCTCGGGACTGCGCTGCCACACTTTGGGGTCCATGTGATGCGAAGGGGGCCTTGGCGTTGGGCTTCTCAGTCGCTCAAACCCCTCCCTAAGCCCTAGACCATTGTCGCTGACCTCAGAACGCACTGCCGTCACCTGGTGGCGGGGATGAGGGCGTTCCATGAAAAAAACAGAGGCCAGACGCCGACTGGGGTCTGCCGGCTTAGAGTCCAGTTAGAGTCTGTTTTGCATTTCGTATTCTATCTCTAACTTAAGTATGGAAAACATACTGGAATTCAGTAATTCGTAAGCCTTTTATAAACTCAGATCAATGGGATAAGGGCCCAGAGAAATGGTTTCTGTAATTTTTCACTATAAAACGTTACACCTTCTATCATGTTTCTCCTATGTTTTTTTTCATAAATTCCATGAAGAATGCATTGTATTTCTAAATACAGAGAAATTACCGAATATTGTTTTAGAGTCCCACTAGTCCTGAAGGCCGTATAGAAATTTCATTTGGTAGCTTCATTTTGGAAAAGTGTCCTGGGCAGAAATTATTTTTCACGAGTCCCTAGAATACATTTAAAGGGGCCGACAGTGTTTCTTAACGTCCGCTACTGAGTCGTTACCCAAAAACCTCAAATAATTCCCTCTTGCTCTTCAAGGCGAATGATGATTTCCTCTGAACGATTACATTTTAAGTGAACATCTTGAGTTTTACGATCCTTGCGAATATCGCGTGTTCATCATATTTTTAATAATAAATGAAAACAAAACAAAATATATCCCATCCAAAAAACTAACCCCTTTTTTCCTTGAATTTTCTTCTTTCTCACCTGCCTTCAGAAATCAACGGAAAAAGAAAGACTAGGCACACAGTAAAATATTATTAAGACTTAGACAGGCTTTTTTTTTCACCCAGTACTACTGTGTTTTATCAAAGAAGCAATCATCGTTTACTGTATCCCGTGGCTCAAATAAGAGATTCCTATGAAACCCTTTTCCTTTAACCAACAAAGATTGTGTAAAGGGAAGGGAGCCCAGAGTCACTTCACAGCTCACCCATTCGGCAGCTGGCCTGTTATAATCTGATCCCACGTTAACCACTGTCGAACATTCTTTCATCGATTTAAGTTGGCTTCAATGTCTGTGTCCACCCGATGCGGTGGCCTTTTTTGTTTAACGCAGAAGAAATTCTCAGTGCGCTACCCGGTGATGCCCACGTGCTCACGAGTGTGTCTGCCTGGTACGCAGAGAGCAGCTCTGCCTGGACTTGGGCGTCAAGGTCATCCTGCCGCAGGCTGGGGTCGCCCAGCTGTGCTGTTTAAGATGTTTTCACAGCTCTAGCGAAGATGACATTATGTCCATCATCTGCTGTTTTATTTTTGCAGGAGTGTTTTTCCAGATTTAAAAGTAAAAATACAACGAGGAGCAACAGTATCCTGTAGTAATTGAACTTTAGGGGGTTTATTACTGGAAAAGATGCTTTTAAAATAATACCAGAGGTGAGAATTAGGCTAGACGTGCCATTTATTTGGGGAGGAATGTTAAACGTAAAACTGCTGTCACAGAGACTCAGATAAGCTGTTGAAGTTACTAACTTTTTTGTTTTATTTTCCTTTACAACTGAATCAAGGGAAGAAATCCATATAGTTAAAATTAGTGAATTTGGCTTTCATGTGTACCTCTATTATTATTAACAACGCTTAAATTTCAAGATCGCTAATGCTTTTTCAAGTATGCGTTTTACTATATATGAAGGACTGAATTATATCGAATTTTAAAATTTTTAATTGAGATGTAATTGACATGTAACATTAGTTTCAGGCCATACAACATAATAATTCAATATTTATGTCCATCGTAAAGTGATCACAACAGTAAGTCCAGTTAATGTCAGTTATCACATAGTTACAAATCCTTTTGCTTTGTGATGAGAGCTTTTAAGACCTACTCTCAGGAACTTTCAAATACGCAACACAGTATTAACTACAGTTACCGTGCTATACATTACATTCCCAGGACTTACTTATTTTGTAACTGGAAGTTTGTACCTTTTGACCCCCTTTACCCATTTTGTTCTCCCTCCCCCAACCCCCGTCTGACAGCCACCAGTCTGTTCTCTGTATCTACGAGTTCAGGTTTTTTGTTTGTTTGTTTGTTTGCGTTTTAGATCCCACATGCAAGTGAGATCGTATGGTATGTGTCTGACTTATTTCACTTAGAATAATGCCCTCTTGTTGTCGCAAATGAATCATTGGATATTTTTAAATGTTCCTTTGGGGGAGAAATCCCCATCGAAGCGACTTAAGTCTGCAGAAGCAGCGAGGGGGTGGGGGGAGTGGGGAGTGGGTCCAGGCGTCCCCAGTGGGCAGCACTGGGAGAGCCGCTCTGCTGTGTCTCCTCCCAGCACTGTGCTTCCTGCGACGTTCACCTCCCCTGGGAGGCCAGGGCCGTGGGTTTTTTTTTTTTCTTTTTTTTTTAGCAGTATACGCTTTCCCTGAGATGGATCAGCATGACGTTTATGATCACGGTGTCAGCTGTAATAGACAGACTCTAGAATTCTTACAGTTGTGGAAAATTACCTTGTGCCCTGACTGCAGATATGAGCCGCAGAGCTGAACTAAGCTCATTCTGGCCTCTCTGGTGCAGCGTCTCTCGATTTTCAGCTTTGTGTTTCCCATTTCGAGCCGCTCGTCGTAAAGCGTTTGTCTCCCCTCCACGGGAACGCCGACGTGGGGGGGTGGCCTGTGGCCTCCCATCGTAATGCGTGCTTTCCCACCGCAGTGCGCCTCTGGCCCCGGGACCTTGGGGAGCTGCTTTGAGAGCCGCGTGGTTGTCGTCTGCGAGAAGATGATGAGCCGGGCCTGCTGGGCCAAGTCCAAGCATCTGATCCACTCGAAGACGTTCCGTGGGATGACCCTCTTACACCTGGCTGCTGCCCAGGGTTACGCCACCCTCATCCAGACCCTCATCAAATGGCGGTAAGGCCGGGGTGCCCGCGGCCGGTGGGCGTCCTCGCTCAGTGACGCGTGGCTTGTCCTTGAGCGTTTCACTAGTGTGGAGATCTGGCCATTCAGTGAGCGTGCTAGCCTGTCAGCAAACGGCTTCCTCCGAGGCCAGTTTCCAAGAGAACTTTATGAACTTCTGCCCAAGTTCATATATACTGAGCAAGACACTAACCGAACGCTGGAATTTTTATTTCCTCTGGGCACCTAGCCAAATCGAGAGTCCAAGCCACCCTGTGAAACTTGGGACCCTGTCTCGTCACCTCAAGGGTGTTGATGCTCAGCCCGGTTTCGCCTCGGGGGTTTGGTAACCGTCAGCGATTCCTTCCAACACTGAGTAATCTTTCAGTAATTGTTGGTGCTATCCCTTACAGCACGAAGCACGCAGATAGCATCGATCTGGAGCTGGAGGTCGACCCCTTGAATGTGGACCACTTCTCCTGTACCCCTCTGGTAAGGAATGGCTTCCTTTACTTCGTGAACCGTTTTTCTAGGCCGGCTTCTCCTGTACCCCTCTGGTAAGGAATGGCTTCCTTACTTCGTGAACCGTTTTTCTAGGCCGGTGTAGGGATGTGCCTGGCTCCCTGTGTTATCCCTCACGGACCGATGATGTTGTCAGAGCCGCTTTGTAACGGTGACATTCGTGGCCCCGTCGGCATTGCCGGCAAGGGTGAATCTGTCAGGTGGCCGCAGCGGCAAAGTGAAATACGTCTTACTCGCGTTGAGAACGCTCGCTCTGTCTCCTTATTTGTTTTAGATGTGGGCGTGTGCCCTAGGGCACGTAGAAGCCGCTGTCGTGCTCTACAAGTGGGACCGCCGGGCCATCTCTATCCCTGACTCTCTAGGAAGGCTGCCTTTGGGGATTGCCAGGTCAAGGGGTCATGTGAAATTAGCAGAATGTCTGGAGCACCTGCAGAGAGATGAGCAGGCTCAGCTGGGCCAGAGCCCCAGAATCCACTGTCCTCCAAGCGAAGAGCCTGCTACAGATAGCTGGATGACCCAGTGGCACAGTGAAGCCATCGACTCTCCAGAAATACCGAAAGGAGTCACCGTTATTGCAAGTACCAATCCAGGTAAAAATCCAGAGCGTCATATCTCAGACTTGGCCGATTTCCCACGCGCTTCCCCTCAGCCACCCTCAGAAGAGCCCGTAAGATACAGGCATTTAAGGGTTTGGGTGGTTTTACGTTTCTGATTTTCCCTTTTAGCTGTAAGAATGTCTAGTGCTTCCTCACTATTCCCCACTCCCGAGCAAAATGCAGAAAGCAGCAAAAAAATCTATGTCCGTGCAAGAAAGATTCTGGAGGAGGATTATCTGGATACGACACGTGTCGCTGGGGAATATTTAAGTGTCAGGGACACGTCCTGAGCTCCGGCTTTGCCCTTCGTGTCTCTCAGGCATAGAGAAAGTGTTAATTCTTTAGGATTCCTGATTTTATTCCTGACTATCCTTTCTACTGTACTTTTCAGAGCTGAGAAGACCTCGGTCTGAACCCTCTAATTACTACAGCAGTGAGAGCCACAAAGATTATCCAGCTCCCAAAAAGCATAAATTGAACCCTGAGTACTTCCAGGCAAGGCAGGAGAAGCTGCTTTCCACTGCACTGAGTCTGGAACAGCCAAATCTCAGGAAGCAGAGCCCTAGTTCTAAGCAGTCTGTCCCAGAGGCAGTGAGCCCCAGTGAAGGAGTGAGGGACCACAGCCGGGAGCTCTCCCCTCCCGCTCCAGAGCCTGCAGGAGGCCAAGCCTCTGGATCCCGGCCCGTAGGAAAGCGGAGTTCCAAAGATCTTTACCTTGGTGTGTCTACAGCACAGGTGACTGGAAATCCGAAGGGGACCAGTGTAGGAAAGGAGGCAGCACCTTCACAGGTGCGTCCACGGGAACCAATGAGTGTCCTGATGATGGCTAACAGAGAGGTGGTGAATACAGAGCTGGGGTCCTACCACGATAGTGCGGAAAACGAAGACTGCTCGCAGCCCATGGACGACATCCAGGTAAGCTCAGGCGAGGTAAGCCCGCAGAGGCCGGGGCGTCCGTCACCGCCGCCTCGACCCTCACACCCCATGTCCAGAGGTCACGTGACCGACCGCCTTCCCTGTGGCGGGTTGGAAGGCTGGTCTCTCGCGTGAGGATGCGAAGCGCCGTCTTTGCCTGGGTCGCGAGTTCACCCAGGGAGTCGGCGCTGGGAAGGAACGGGCCGGAGCAGCGGAGGGGCCAGGGCCCAGCAGAGCCGCCCGCCCCGGCTCCTCAGGACCCACTCGGGACCCTGCTGCTTCCTTGCATTCGGGGTGACTGGTTCTACGGGTTTAGGTGCTAGTCATGGTAGGGTCATGGCTAGGATGAGAGACCTGTGGTTAGAACTTAACAGCACGGCCGTCACCAGCCAGAAAGGGCATATCCGGCATGAGGCTCTCATGAGATGCAATGAAACAGCCCTGAAGCGGAACTCGACTGCCCTCCTAAGAAATCTAGGAACTCTCAAATCCCTTCAGAGCATGAGAATTGTTATAGGTTCAAAGAATGTATACCGAAGTAAACTTGAGGTCGGGCTATTACATTACGCAAGCGCATTCCAGTCATTAAAATGTGCTATGCAGGAGAGGACCAGACCAGCAGCCCGAGAACGTGTGTCCGACGTCCTCATTTTCCCACTTCCCATCAATATGGCCTGAAGCAAACGTAAAAGGAAAAACCTCCCCCGGGAAAAACCTCCCACAGTAGGGCGCCGTGCGCCGGGCCGCGACGTGGCGACAGGGAGGCCGGAGGTCCCATACCCCGATTAAAATGTGCTATGCAGGAGAGGACCAGACCAGCAGCCCGAGAACGTGTGTCCGACGTCCTCATTTTCCCACTTCCCATCAATATGGCCTGAAGCAAACGTAAAAGGAAAAACCTCCCCCGGGAAAAACCTCCCACAGTAGGGCGCCGTGCGCCGGGGCGTGACGTGGTGACAGGGAGGCCAGAGGTCCCATACCCCGGCCGGCCTCTGAGGTAGGGACCAGCACCGAGCCCCCGCCCAGCACAGGGGAGAGGCCGGTACGGGACCAGTGCC